GTCAAGCCCAAACAAGGTGCACAGAGGACACCTACGTAATAAGCAACAAGTATCCTTCCAATTTTCAGTTATGCTAAGAAACAAGAAAAGAGAGATTGCAACTCATTCATGGGATGGATGTCTACTTTTAATTTAATTTATTTTCTTCTTCCCCAAGAAAAGCGTACTGCAGAACAAGTAAATAGAGAACAGATAATATATTGCATACGTGCCTGCAGTAAACTATAGCCGCAAAGAGACGAAATGTTGCTTATCGTGTTTAAATGCGACTCCACCAAAGGAGTCCAAAAGAATACAAATACAGTTATCGCATTATCAAAGCAAGCTCCACAACTACAGGTAGTCCCCAAAATTGGATCTCAGAACGGCGTGCATTCACCCACCGTCATCTGCAATGGACAGTGACACAAGAAAGCGATTCATTCATCCCGGTTTCAAAACCAAGAAGGTAAACACATTCAATAGACTACTTACCCTAATCTCTTGAAATCAATTAGTCGCCGGACACATAAGTCTTATCCTCATAATACCTTTTCTCACTTTCTGCCTTCCTCTCATTGCGTTTCTGCAGACAAAAACATACACGACAGATAGATCCATTCCACATGTTAGGTAGACGGTGTGTGTCATAACAAAAACAAGCCAAACAAACCCAAATCCTGAACTAAGTCAATTTACACACCGATCATTGTATATCATGAGTTTATGACATAGAAGATGGATTTCTAAATGAGTTGGGCAGCATGGACCCAGCTTCCACAAGACAGAAAAATTCATGGCAGATGTCATTTTCAACATGCCTATTGTTGAGCTTCTCCATTGATTCGCTCAAGGAATAGGATACTATATTTGAGAGGTAGACTAACCTGATAAGCCTCATGATTTGCAACAATTCTCTTTATTATAGTGCTAGTTGTAATATCCAGAGGGCTTTCCAGCAGTTTAAGTATACCCATACCGTTTGGAACAGCATATGGGTCGCGCTTCTCCTGTAGGATGAATTATATGTCAGTGTCCTGCAAAACCTCTTGGCACTCTGTTATTGTTAAATAAAAACATGGGCATAATGGCCAGCAAGTAATCACACAGTACCTTCTGAAAATCTTTATCTTCAGCTACTGTTCCATGTACAATTAAAGAGATGTTAAAGGTTGTTATCTGCAGTTAACAAGAATTTCAAATATGTCAAAATATTATAATAATTGAAACCATATGGAACAAACATGATTAGGCTGAGTAAATTCAACTCAAAATGGGCAACTCAATGAAAAAAGCATTTCAATGCAATTCTTTCAGAGAGGAAAATGATTACTTAATACTTTACTTCTAAGCAAGGATCAAAATTTTGTTTGATGAAATTTTGCAGACTAAATAATGATTTCAAAATAGCATCCGGCTGAGTGATGTACAGATTATTCGGCAGCTGCTGGAACAATCAAGGGAGGCATGAAGAAAACGCACTTGGAAGCTGCAAAAATTGGAGGGAGGTTTACAGTACCTTCTTCTGTTTCTGTGGATAAAAATGGGGTGTTTAATGTGGATACCGAATCTTGTAAGTTGAGGTGTGAGGATCAGTGTATAAGTTTGGTGGGAAGATTTGGTGTTCTCAATTCACAGCCACCAGGGATTGAAAAGTAAGTAGATGGGCAAATAAAAAATTGGGGTCAGTTGGTCTACAAGTAGTTCCAATGGCCAATTCACTATTCATGTTTGTTTTTCAATCGGAGAAGGAAGCAATGAGGATTTTGAATTTACAAGATTGGAGTTTAGAAGGAATTCTATTGTATCTTGATTGAAGTTGATTTGTTGATAGAGGAGCTGCGAGAATATGATGATGTTTCCTATGTGTCAGAATCATCAGCAATGGAAGTGGTAGGTGTGGGAATATTTGATAAGGAGAATGACAAAAGGATTGTGGAAAGTGCCAGTAAGAATGGTAAAAGTGAGAATGCTTTAATGGTGCCTCTGATTGCGATAAGTTGTGACAACGATTACGCAAAAGCTAGGGTCTGAGAGTTGTGTTCCTTCTTTATTTCCAATTGATTGTCACTTTGATTCGCCAATATTTTCATCTATACCTACTTCCTTTCCCACTAATATATTTTCCGAAAAAGAAAATGCAGGGACTTTGTGAGAAGCATGTGTTCTGGTTCAAGACTTTTACTCAGACCTAGGGGTATGACAGAAATGAAATTACCTTTATGCCAAGAGGGGACAGGTTTTGTGGGTAACCAAGTAATTGTGGACCAGCTATGGAATGAGGGAGAAAAACAAGTGAAACAAACCCTTTTGAAAAAATGGACCTGAAGATGGTTAGTCTAACTGGGCAGGAAATTAGAGTAGAAGTGTCGCCTATAATGTATAATAGGAGAAGGAAGAAAGGTGAGAGAGAGTTAAAGAATCTATAATGTGAGATTAGTTATGATAGGGGGGTGAGAGAAGGGGAGGGGGTTATAGAGGTTCCAGATGAAGTTGATTAGTTGAAATGTGAAAGGGTTGAGGAGTTGGATGAAAAGGAGAATGATTAAGGAGGTGATTCTAAGAGTTTCTCTAGATTTACTTATGTGCAAGGAGATAAACCTAGAGATGGTAGATGAGGCTTTGGTTACGCAAATTAGGATTCTAGATTTAAGGATTGAGTTTTTCTACCTTCATGCAGATTTTCTGGGGGTATTATTGTGATATAGGATCTTTATCAAGTCTCTTTCTCGCTCTGATCTACAGATCTGAGATTGCACCCTCTTTCTCCCAAATTTGTAGATCTGGATGGGGAGCCTTGTAGGTGAGTCTAAGATCTTCTCTCTCTTGTGCATTCTATTGAGAAGTGAGAAACGACCGACTGTTTTAACCCTCTCCCCCTTTTTTTTTCCTTTTTCTTTTATTGTTGTATATTATTAGTATTTGTTAAATTCGTATATTAACAATATACCTTGTTTGTTAAATAGCTGCAATTAATTTTATCGTATATACCTTATTTGCTAAATATTCAAAATTAAGTATTTGTGTCAAAATTTTTCATGCAATGATTTTAATATTAATGGAATAATATTATTTAGTAATTTGATGACACAATTTAAAATTAAGTGTTTGAAACTAGTTGAAGTAATTTCCGCCTAGTGCGAAACCTTTTTCCCCCTCCAACTTGGTGTTATCTTGTATAAATAGATATTAATCCAATAAACATGTTCAATTGATCAATTATTAAATTTATCTGTGGGACCTGAGAAAACTAATTAGGCATTTTATTTTGTGTTTGGGGTTTAGATGCGAGTATTTATTTTAGTCATAAGATTTAAAATTGAAATAATTCAAAATACAAAGAAGAAATATCTTTACTTGTTTAAGATTAGTATGTAAAATTTTGGGAACGAAATTCCTAAAGAGAGAAAAATTTTAAGACCCGAGCATGCATGATAAACATATAGTATTTTTAATAAGCATATTCACATGTGACATGCATCCGTAAAATTGACAACTAGTATTTAATTATGAGTAATGATATGAGACCTGAACTTGAACAATAAATATTTTAATATTCAGAGATAATTTATAAATAATGATTATAGAGGGAATTATTTTATTCAAGTGTGAAAAGTTAAATAAGAATGTTGATATGAGATATGACTTTATTATTTTATGTACATTAGCGCATGTGGAATTAATTGGGTGGCAAGCATGTGACATCAATTTATTGTTATTTAACTCTCTCTCAAATCTCTTTCGGTATGAGAGTTCTCTCCTTTGGTTAGGGTTTTTTTGAGATTTTATTCTCATTTCTCTTTTCATGAGGCGGATCTCTTCGTCTTCTCAACACTACTTCCCCCTTTTCCATGTTTTCAACCTTTCTAATCCCTATACACTCTTCCTAGACTGGAATAGTCCATACCTTATAGCTCTACGCTATATCCGTATTTATCACTTCACCCAAGGCCTCCCCAGGTTCTTTCCAAAACGACGTTTGCTTTCCCGAAGAGGTGGCTCCCATCGATAAGTGTCTTGTGACGTTTATACCTCACCGTCCTTCTATCTTTTTTCCCATTCTCTGTTTGCCCCATTTCCTTACCATTACTGTATTACCCATCACCATAACGTTTTCCTCATACGTATCTCTCCCTTGTCTTTGTCTGCTCTTCGCCATTGTTGTTCTACCCTCTCTCGTGTTACCCTTGTTATAGACCCAAACCCCAAACCCCCAAAATTACCAAACCCTCAATCCCCTCTTTGTACCTCCTCTCACCCTATTTCTGTCTCTATTTTCCCTATCTCTTCATCTTTCCTATAGCTCTTATTATCTATTTCCTACATATGGAGAAGGATCTCAAAGTTGACTCCCATTCCTCCCATCAACCACGAATCTCTCTCTATTTTGACCCCTTTACCTCAAAGACGATAGGTAAATTCTGCCTAGTGGGTCGGTTTTTCATAGATTCTACCCTAAATAAGCAAGGGGCTTGTAATGTGTTGCAGAGCTCTTGGAAGACTTCCGAAGGTTTTTCCATCACCTATTGGGAAAGAAATACCTACATGTTTATGTTCAAAGATGAGGATGATAGAAATAAGATTTTAAATGAACGTCCATGGTCCGTTTCAGGAGCATTGTTGGTTCTGAAGGTATATCAACCACAGTTTATCATGGGAGATTTCAATTTTCACTCAATCAAGTTTTGGGTACAGATCTGGGGCTTACCCCTCGATATGATGACAAAAAATAATGCTTGGAGGGTGGGAATGATTATTGGCGAGCCCACCCAACTCAAGGATTTTGAAGGGGAAGTTCAAATCCAGCAGAATTTTCTGAGGGTCAAGTGTAGGATCAACTTGAATGAACCTTTGAAAAACGATTTTTTCCTGACTCAGGAAAATCAAGATGATATTTGGATTAGTCTGAAGTTTGAGCGACTGTCCGATTTTTGCTACCAATGTGGTCGGGTTGGCCATTCTCAAAGTCATTGTAAGGACAGGAGAACGTCTGGGTCCAATAGCTGCTTCGGGCCAGAGCTACGAGCGCAATCCATTCAGTTAGGGGGTTTCTTCAGAGAAACTTGGTCCCTAAGAGAACGCGAGAATTTGGAAAAGAATGACAAGTTCAAAGGTAAAATGCAGGAAGCTGATGGAGAGGTTGAACCAGGAAGGTGGAGGGGTCAAGAAGGGAACATGAACGTTAGTGGAGATTCATCAGAGGTACCCATAAACCGAGAAGATGATGCGCTGAGAAATCCTGTCAAAAATGAGGCCAATACCAGTCTAGAATAGCAAAACGAATCACAATGCCATGCACCACCCCTCCCACTAGTACCGTATGTTGGTGGGGACCAAGATTGGGATTTGTTTTTATCCCTTTCTTTGTCTTTGTCCCAAGAAGATTTGAATATTCTTGTAGCAACCAAGAGCGGATCCTACTATGTTTATGAGCCCACAGAGAGCCTAGAAGCCTAGGAGATCAGTGAAAAAGTGATTCACATAATCACTGATAGTGAGGAGGAAGAAAGGAATGTTGAGATAGAGACCCACTTTCAAAGTATGACGCTTAAGAGGAAAACCCAGCTGGATGACGCGACTATGGAAGCTCACCCAATACCTTGGAAAAAACCAAAAGCATTTTCAGACAGTGGCCCAAGTGCACCTCACCTTTCCCTACCTTTTTCTGGCCCCCCACTTGCTATTGATATGTCCCTTGTGAGTTTTCGAAGAAAGCATGCCCTAAGAAAACGGGCTAGGAGAAGTAAGCCCAAGGAAAAGGCGAGAGGCGAAGGGCTGATGCACCCTGAAGCACAGTTTGCCTATCTTGAGAATGAAGAGGAAGACATGTAACATGATTTGGTTGAGGGCTATAATGGTCTCAATGAAGGGAAAGGGGAGAATAACCTGGACTGATGTATATCCTTGTGGATTACTCAACCCTCTAAGATTACCTTTGATGAGGGTGATGAAACTAGCCGTGCTGATAAGGTGGTGGTGGCTGACCTTAAACAGCCACACGATTCATGTTGATGCTCACGTCCGTAATCTAAGAGGGCTTATTACCACCCATCGTCCCTCAATCGTCTTTCTTATGGAGACTAAAAACAAGTCTGATAAGTTGAAGCGGTTGAGAAAAAACTTAAACTTTTCCTGTTTCGAGTATGTGGATCTTGTGGACCTTTCTTGCGGACTTGCATTATGGTGGAAGGAAGATACCAACCTGATAGTTCTGAATAAATCCAAAAATCTGATCAATGTAAGAGGTAGACTTAAACATCGACAGGAATTTTGGCACTGTACCTTTGTCTATGCAGATCCGTTGGCTGTAAGGAGGAAGAAGATATATGAGCGGCTAACCAATATAGCAAAATCCATCGACTTGCCCTAGTTAGTTGCAGGGGATTTCAATAATATTGGATCGCTGGATGATAAAGAAGGGGGTGTTGTTAGTAGTATAAGGAGGGTGGAAGAATTGCAACAATTGTTTTCTGATTGCTGCCTCATTGAGATGTGCTTTAGTGGACCCAAATTTACATGGTCTAACAACAGGCCAAGTGCAGCCAATGTTCAAGAGCGGATTGATCGAGTATTGGTTAATTCAGACTGGAGTGCTCTCTTTCCCTCAACTGCGGTGCTGCATGAAACTAGGATGGGGTCTGACCACTGTCCTATTGTGATTAATCTTGGCTTAAATGCTAAAAAAGCCCCCCATTCCTTTAAATTTGAATGTATGTGCCTGGAGGATCTTGAGTGTGAAGAGGTGATCAAAAGCAATTGGACTGTGAGGGATCCAACCTCTATGTCTTGCAACACCATCAGCAATCTCAAGTCATGCAGAACTCATCTGCTGGAATGGAACAAACAGAAGTTTGGTAATAATAAGAGTTTGATTTGAAAGCTTAACAAGGAACTGCTTCGTGTTCAGATGATAGAGCCTTTAGAGGAAAACCTTATTGAGGAAGTAGAGCTTTGTGCCCAGATAGATGCAGTAAGATGCAGAGAAGAGAAGTACTAGCAGCAATGTTTAAGGGTCAATTGGTTGAAAGATGGGG